ATGGTGATGGTAATTTCATTTTTAAAGTATTGGTCATTAAGTGGAAATTTTACAAAAGAGAGAGAAAAGATTTATTTTGGTTCACAGTTTGGTGGTTTCAGGGCATGACGGGTTGGACACTGCTAAAGCCCTGTGACAAGGCAGTACATAAAAGCTGCTGACCTCGTGGGCAGGATGGGAATGAGAGAAGGGAAAAGATCAGGCAGAGCCCCACACCCTCCCCACCCCACCACCTAAAGCCTCCTATGAGGCTCCACCTCTTACTTTCTCCCATCCTCCAATAGTGCCACCTACAGACTGAGCCTCCAGCACATGGGCTTTTGGGGACACTTTCCATCCAAACTGTAGCAATTGTTTTAGAGATTACTACATGCTTTAGTCCCTTATTAAAATCTAACATCAATTAGTACCTTTAATTTCTTCCTGGCCGGTGCTAGAACCCTGGAACACTAAACTTACCCCCTTTTTTTGACTTATGTGCTATTATTTCTGTATACTTTAAATATATGCATATATATGTGCCTGTGTGTTTTTAGACATTATGTTGATGGAAGAGAGCTATATTAAAGTAAAAAGAATTGGATAACGAAACATATATATCCTTCATCCAACTCTACAATTTATGGCTGAGCTAATTTCATAAATACTCTCACCCTGTATCATTTCAATGAAATCTCAGATATATAATTTTGCCCATAAGTATTTCAGTATTTTAAAGCTCACAAGACATGATCATTTTCTATATTATTATAATTTTATATAAATAACATGCCTTCAGGTTTACACATTTTTTCACTTCTCTTGTTGCCCTTTCTCCCTCCTTGCAGCTCTGAGCTTCCATTTGGAATCACGTTCCTTCTGATTGGAGACCATTCTATAGTGTTCTCTTCAGTGTGGATCTGCTGCTGACAAATCTCCATGTTTTTTTTCTTTTTCTTTTTGCAGCACTGGGGTTTGAACTCAGAGCCTTACCCTTGCAAGGCAGGCACTCTTAACACTTGAGTCATTCTGCCAGCCCCTGCAGTTTACATTTGTCTGAAAAAAAAATGTCTTTATTCCACTTTTATTTGTGGAGGCTATTGTTCATGGGCAGATAATCCTAGGTTGGCAGGTAGTCTCTTTCCTCACTTTGAAAACATCATGCCCTTGTTTCTGGTTTCCCTCAACTTTATTGACAAATTGACAAGTCAACTCTTAAATCTAATTTTGTTCCTTTGAAGGTAATCTGTCTTTTTTTTTTCCTGTGGCACTTTTAAAAGTTTTTGTCTTTGCCTATGAGCAGTGTCACACTGTGTTTAGGTGGCTCTTCAATCTGGAATTTCTTTTTTTTTTAATGCTAGAAAATTCTCAGCTTTGCTTCTCTCTCTCTCTGTCTATCTCTCTCTCTCTCTCTCTCTCTCTCTGTCTCAGTGCTGGAGTTTGAACTCAGGACTTCATGCTTGCTAAGCAGGTGCTCAACCTCTGGAACCACATCTCCAGCCCTTTTTGCTTCAAATAATAGGAACTCATTTTTGTCCAGCCTGCCTGGATCACAATCCTATTTTACGCTTCCTGCTGTAGTTGAGATGACAGGAGGATGCTATCATGCCCAATTTATTCCCCCTGTTAAGATGAGATCTTACAAACTGCACCCTCACCCTGCCCTGCTGCTGACCTAGAACTGGGATCCTCCGATCTCAGCATCCTGTGTAACTTGGGATGATAGGTGTTCATCACCGTGTCCAACTATGGGTTGAGATGACGTTTCACAAACTCAGTGCTTAGGCTGTCCTCGAACCACAATCCTACTGATCTCAGCCTCCCAAATAACTAGGATTATAGGTGTGAGCTACCAATGCCTGGTTCAGCTTTGTCTCTGTAAGTATTACTTCGTTCCCATTCTCCCTTTCTTCTCCTTATAGAATTCTAATTTCACATAATTCATACCTTCCTCATGAACTCTTTATGTCACTTCGCCAGCCCTTTTTTTGTGATGGTTTTTTTCAAGATAGTCTCTTAAACTGTTTGCCCAGGGCTGGCTTCGAACCATGATCCTCTGGATCTCTGCCTCCTGAGTAGCTAGGATTACAGGCGTGAGCCGCCAGTACCTGACTGCATTTTCTTTTGAGGTGAGGCTCTTACTATGTTGCCAAGACTGATCTCAAAGAGGATCAAGTGATCCTCTTGCCTTGGCTTCCTGAGTAACTGAGACTGCAGAGGTCTATCACTGCTGCCTGACTCTCTGTATTTTAATTTAGATATTTTTATTGAATTCTCTCCTAGCTACTAATCTTTTTTTCTCATTTGTGTTGACCTGCTGTTATTCTGTTATTAGCATAGAGTTCCTAATTCCATTTTTGTAGTCGGCAGTACACTGGTAAAATTCTGAATCTTATCTTTTACAACTTGGAATATAGTTATTTGGAAGTCTATGATCTGACAATTTCATAATTGAAGATCGTATGGGTTTTTTAAAAAAATATATTGTCTGTACTCTCTTTTGAGGTTTATTCCTTCTGTCATATATCTTTGTTTGCTTGGTTATTTTTAATCGATCACTGGAGGGCATGTGCAAAAATTGTTAAAAATAATTTTGGAAAATAATTCAAGGCCTAGGATTCTGAAATTCTGGGATCTCCTTCATTCGGCTTGAGTGGTTGAGATGATTTGAAGCTGGGCCACAGTGCTTGGAGGGCTAGTCTAATCCTGTTTGACTGTTATGCCTAGAATGAGGACCCATCCCGAGTGTGCAGAGTGTGGGGAGTTTGTAGCTTTCCTTCCCCCAGCCATGTGAAGGTGGCAAAAGCACTGCTCTGCGTCTCAGTCATCTCTTCCAGAATTGGCAATTATCTTGAGGGGAAAGTAGCTCCAAATGCCAGACTTGTCTGCCACTTCTTCCCTGCATCTGATCCCTTTTTATTTATTATTTTTTGCAGGGCTGGGGATGGAACCCAGGGCCTTAAGTGCATGCTAGACAAGTGCTCAAACACTGAAGTACATCCCCAACCCTCTCTGATGCCTTTTTTAGCAGATTTTTTAAAAAATTATTTTCCTGGCTTTTTTGGTTCTCTGTGGGAAGTTTGATCTGAATTATTTAGTATCCCAGGACTGGGATATCTGATTTTAATTTAACAGATCACTTGTTAAAATGTAAGAGAAGCAGTCAGACATGGGGCCTAGGTAAGAGGCCTTTGCAGTAATCCACACAGGAACCTGGACACGGACTTAGATGGACTTTGAACAGAAGGCAGTGGGGTGCCATGTTGGTGGCTTGGAGCAGGGTGGTGGTGGCGAATCCATAGGATTCGCTATAGCTTGGATATGGGAATGGAAGAAAGTGACCATCGAGGATGACTCAGGGTTTATGGACTGAGCAAAAGGGCAAAATGTTAGGACAGGAATTGTGTTGGAGGTGGAGGTAAGAGGGAAAGAAAAAGTGCAAATTAGGTCATGGTAAGTGTGCAATGCTTCTTAGACAACCAAGGGAGGTATCTTGTAGATAGCTGAGCATAAGCATCTGGAGTGTAGGGGAGAAGACTGGGCTGGAGATAAAATTTGGAAATCATCAGTATAGAGTTTGAATTTTATGCCAAAGCTTGGATGTGCTCTTGCATGGACCAGGGATTCAGCCTAGAACTCCAACATCAAGGGGTCAGAGAGGTAGGAAAAAACTGAGCTGGGAATGGGAACAGAAGGTCCTGGAAGCTGAATCCAGAAAGGGATTCCAGGTGGAGGGGGCAACTGACAGGACTGGATGTTGCTGAGCAGGAAGCGAGCAGGTCAGGTGGGAAATAAAGTCTCTCTCAACTTGGTAAAGAGAAGAGGCCTTGTTTCTGAAGGGAATTTAGTGTACCCTTCCCCCAGTTTGTCATTTGACTTTGTGGATGGTGTTTTATTCTTGATAAAAATTTGTAATTGTGCCTGGGTTTTGTTTTATTCATGCTTCCAGCTTTCTGCCCTCTTTCCCATTCCAAGATTACATGTCTTCATGTGGCACATGTGTGTCCCTGGAGCAGGGACAAAGGGTCCAGGAATTGGAGAGGGTTGGAGTTTAGGATGAACTGGTTAGGTCACAAGTAACTAAGCTGAAGGAAAATGGGGACAGGTGACCCAGGTGCTCTTTTTGGATGTTGATTTCCTCACTGGTAACTGGGGCTTAAATACTGGCTTCTTGAGGGAAAGGTTTCTGGGTGTTAAGGAAGAGGCAGCCCGTGATGAGTTCAGCAGGCTGTGCTCCAGGATCAGGTGTCATTGCAACACAATGAACAGGACTTTGAAGCTGTGGGGCCTGTCCCTTGGACAGATGAGGAGGCTGAAGCCAGAGAGCATTGTCATAGACTTGGAGCCCTAGGAGAAGCTGTGGGGCCCATTAGGGGGCTTTAAGGGGTAACTCAGGCCAGATTTGGCCTGTTGCAAATGAGCCAGTCCTGCTGGAGGTGTGGCTCAAGTGGTAGAGTGCCTGCCTAGTAAGCACAAAGCCCTGAGTTCAAACTCCAGTACTGCCCAAAAAAAAAAACAAACAAATGAGCCAGTCCTCCTGGGAGAACTAAGGAACTATAGTGGCAGAGGCACTTTGCAAACTGAGAATTGCCTTGTATCTGGCCACGGACAGTGTAAATGGCATCACACTTTGCAATCTGCAGGGTGTGACAGACTAATGAGCAAGTGGACTAAGGGGGCAGTCCAAGGTCAGTGCTGGTGGCTCATGCCTGTAATCCTAGCTACTCAGGAGGATTGCAGTTTAAGCCAGCCCAAGCAAAGAGTTCCCTGGAACCCTGTCTTGAAAAACCCTTCACAAAAATAAGGCTGGGAGAGTGGCTCAAGGTGAAAACTCTGAGTTCAAACCCCAGTACCACAAAAAAGGAGGGGCAGTCCAGTGTGTTTTCTGACCTAACTTGAGGTGTAATGATAGCAGATGGGCCATCAGTCACTATATCCCAGTGAATGGCAGCCAAAATGAGCCCAGGTGGAGAGTTTGGGGAAGGAGAACCAGGCCACTGATTCTGTGCCATGTCCCCTAGAGCCATCCTCCAGCAGCAGGGCTCACCCATGGATGCTGCCATCGCAGCCCTGGTCTGCACCGGTGTTGTCAACCCTCAGAGCATGGGCCTGGGTGGAGGGGTCATCTTCACCATCTACAATGCAACAACAGGTGGGTCCCATGTGACGCCCCCTTGGGGAGGAAAGACTTGTGCACAATCACTTGGTAACCACTTCCCAAGTCCCTTCCCATGCCCCTTCCTGGCTGCTCTTGGCCCCCCACCCTGCTCTCTTTGCCTCCGTTGTGCAAAGCCTTGGTGATAGGTCCTCGCCCAAGTGTCAGCAGAGAGAGAAACTGAGGCCTAGAGCAGGCTAGGGCCATCTGAGGAGGCCAAGACTACTTGCTTACCTGTCCCAACTCCAGGGAAGGTGGAGGTCATCAATGCCCGGGAGACGGTGCCTGCTGACCATGTCCAGGGCCTGCTGGATCAGTGCAAACAGGCCCTGCCACTGGGCACAGGTGAGGCCCTAGGAGGGGGTCCACTCCCCCACCCCACTAATCCATGAAGAACGACCCCCCCTGAAGGGGCAATGTTCCTCATGAATAGGCTGTGACACCCTGGCACAGAGGATGGAAACTGAGGCATGGGGAGGCTGTGCGGAGCCTAGATCTGCCGGGGTGGCATGGGGTCTTTCTGATGAAGGATCTCTTTGAGTAGGGTGGGGTGATCCAAGGAGAGGATCAGGATGGACAAAGTTCTGGGGGATTCGGTGAAGATGGGTTGGCAGAACCAGGCTTCTGAGGTTAATTTGTATAAGGCCTGTGCCTGGCCATGGAATTTTTATGTGAACTTTGTATAGAAAGCAGTGGAGCCACAGGAAGTCTGTGTGAGGGGAGACATGGTCAGGTGTGGCCTCCAGAAGCTTGTTCTGGTTGTCATGGCTGGGGGTGGGGGTGCTTGGCATGGGGAAAGAAGGAAACCCTGGGCAGCCTATGGTTATAGGGCTGAGAAAGGGTGTTCCGAGCAGGGGCTCAGTGGATCGGGGTTCCTGGGGAGCTCCGTGGCTATGCTGAGGCCCATCGCCGCCATGGCCGCTTGCCCTGGGCACAGCTGTTCCAGCCTACCATCACTCTTCTCCGAGAGGGCTACCGCATGCCCTCAGTTCTCAGCCGGTTCCTGCAAAACAAATTCCTGCGGCCTTCCTTGTATGCATCGACCCTGAGGTGAGCACCACATGGTGGCTCTGTGCTCAAGGCCACCTCTTATCTGAGTCAGTCATATCTGGCTCTGCCTCAGTCCTGCCTTGAACTGGAGGGTTGAACCCAATGTGGTGCCAGGGACTTTAAGGTCAGGATGATCAGTGCTTTTCTGTCTCAGGTCAGACCCTAGCTTGGAGAAGGTTAGGCCACTTGGATGCCAAGGTGAGAAGAATCCAGTGCTGTGGACTTGGGCTCTGCACGGCTTGCTTTTTATTCTCTTTAAAGTGATTGGAGGGCTTTGACTTTCCTGCTAGCTCAATGACAGGTCCTCCCAAGGGGTGGGAAGGACAGGCCCTGGGTGGACAAAGACCCACTGGGAAAATGCCCTCTTTGGGTCAGGGCATGAATGAGGTAGGTGGCATCAGCTCAGCTTTCCTCCATTCCCTAGCTCCTTGATAATCTGTCACCTCATTGCCCACCCTAGTGCCTTAGAACTGTGGGCCAGAACTTTCCTCCAGGAAGAGTCCTGAGGATCCCACTGGAACCCTGGCAGTAGTATGACTGTCCTCTGAGATTGTCTCCCCACCCCCTCCAGGCAGCTCTTCTTCAACGGGACAGAAACCCTGAGGCCTCAAGACCCATTCCCATGGCCTACTCTGGCCACCACCCTGGAGACTGTGGCCACGGAGGGTGCAGAGGCCTTCTACACAGGGAGGCTGGGCCGGATGCTAGTAGAGGACATTGCCAAGCAAGGTTAGCTGCACTGAAATTCCAAGGTCCATCCCCACCAGAGTTCTGGGTGCTGGGAGTTGAAGGCAAGCCCATTCCCAGGTCCTGTGGGCATTTCAGCTGGCCCCAGGGCTCAGAAAGTCTGAACATTAGCCCAGCCCAGTCCCACCCAGCCCAGCCACTGCTGGCCTCAGGGCCTCGAAAATCAGGGCCAATGGAGGGGTTATAGACAACTATGGCAGGCCTGGACAGCTGAATTGACCACCTTCCTCTTCCTCTCCTCACCACTTGCTTTCCTTGGTCTCTGTCCACCATCACCCCATGGCAGTGCCTACACACCACAATCACCCCACCAGGTCTATGTGGCTAGGGGCCAAGTGGACCCCCATTGTGTGTCCTGGGTCAGTGGCAAAAAAAAAAAATCCTTATTTGCCTCAGTTTCCCCATCTGTATGTGTTTCCCTGTCTTTCTCACCCCAGGGAGCCAGATGACCCTGCAGGACCTGTCTGCCTTCCAGCCTGAGGTGGTGGATGCTCTGGAGATGCCTCTGGGAAACTACACCCTGTACTCACCACCTCCACCAGCAGGAGGCGCAGTTCTCAGCTTTATCCTTAATGTGCTGCGAGGTAAGATCTTCCCAAGCCTCCCCAGCTGAGTACCTGGGCTACCAGCCCAACCACAGCCATGGGTGGTGAATTAGCTAATTCATAACAAAATACCTGGGCTGGTAGAGTGGCTCAAGTGGTAAAGTGCCTGCCTAGCAAGTGTGAGGCCTTGAGTTCAAATCCCAGTGAAAAAAAGAAATTCCAGTGCAAAATGCCTGACATAGCTACTTATAAAGAAAAGGAGATTTAAGGCTGGGAGGTTTAAGGCAGCTCAAGGGTAGAGTGCGGGCTGGCCTATACGAGGCTTTGGGTTTGATCCTTAACATCCCTAATTAAATTAGTTAAGTAAGTAAATCATTAAAATAAAGAAAGATAAGGTTGGTTCACAGTTTTGGTGATTCAAGGGCATGACATTTGCATTGGCTCAGTTCTGATAAGGGTAGTGGAAGACAGCAATGGTGGGAGCGTATGTCTGGGTAAGTGGTCACATCTCAACCCAGGAAGCAGAAAGACTCATTCCTTTCATAATAACCCTCTTATGAGGACCACTAAGAGCTCACATGTGAACACCTTCCAACAGCCCACCCCCAGTGACCTAAGGACTTCTTCCTGCCTGACCCCCTCCTCCATAAACTGAGCTAACAGATGCATAACATCCGAGACAGGACTGTGGACCCCAGTCAGGATGGTTTGTGTTAGGACTGACCCCTCTCTAAAGGGATTGGCCCATGTTTGAGATTTTGCGGAAAGAACTGACTTCCCCCTTCCCAGTAGGTGATCCAGGTCCAGGTCACAGGAGCAGGCAGGCTCTCAGGCAGTGAGCTACCTGCAAGAGATCTGCACTCAAGTCTATGGCACAGCCTTCCAGGCGGTTTCTGGGGCTGTATTAAGAATCCTGTAGATGCTCTAATAAATTACTACGAACATACAACAGAAATGTGTTCCCTCACAGTTCGGGAGGCCCAAAATCTCACATTAAGTTATCCACAGAGTCACAGTTCCTCTGGGAGTTCGCGGGGTGGGGAAACCTATTCTTTGCCACTTCCAATTTCTGCTGGACACCAGAAACTGGTATTTCTTGCCTCTGGCTTCATCACTTCAATTTCTGACTCCATGGTTATAAAAATAGTTCTTATCTATAGGGAACATGTTCTAAGACCTCTGGTAGATGCCTGAAACTGCAGATAGTACTGATGCCTTGTGTATACGATATTCTTTCCCATATGTACATACCTATGATAAAGTTTAATTTAAAAATCAGACACAGTAATGCATTAAGAAAAATAAGTACCTTTTTACTTAAAGGAAGAACTTTTGGCATATTCAAATTGCCAGCATCACTACTTATGTTAGCTTTAAATTACTATAACAAATACTTGAGATAAATAAGCTTATAAAGAGAAAAGTTTTATTTTGACTCACAACCTTGAAGTCTTCAATTCATGATTGGTTGGTCCCATTGCTTTCGGGCCTGTGGTAATGCAGTACATAATGGTAGCAGCCCATGGTAGAGCAAGCTGAGAAGTGAAAGAGAAAGAGAAAGAGCCCGTTATCTCACAATCCCTTTCAAGGGCATACCCCCAGTGACGGAAAACTACCCACTAGGTCCCATCTCCTTTTTTTTTTTTTATAGTACTGGAGTTTGGACTCAGGGCCTACACTTGAGGCATTCCACCAGCCCTTTCTTGTGATTTTTTTTTTTTTTTTTTTTTTTTAGATAGGGTCTTGCTAATTATTTTCCTGGGCTGGCTTTGAACTGCGATCCTCCTGATCTCTGCCTCCTGAGTAGCTAGGATTACAGGGGTGCCCTAGCCTAGGCCCCGCCTCTTAAAGACTCCATCACCTCACAATGGCACTAGGCTAAGGAACATACCAAAGTGCTTCACGTGGACTTTTGGGCACATTTCAGATTCAAATCATAGCACTATTCTTGCACTTTGAGGGACATTATTAATTAAAGGTGTTACTTAAACATAAGTGCTCTGATATGGTGACAGTTGATCTGATCATCAAGGTGTTTAATAGGTGACTAACGGGCAGGTAGCTTATATAGAGTGGATACACTTAAAAAAAGGATGATTCAAGTCCCTGGTGAGATGGAGCAGGACAGCACAAAACTCATCACGCTACTCAGAATGACACACAACTTAAAATTTATGAATTGTTTATTTCCGATATTTTCCATTGGGTGTTTTCAGACTGTGATTAACGCCAGGTAACTGAAACTGGAAAGTGAACCCACAGATAAGAAATGGCCACTATTTTGGCTTCTCTTCTCTGTACGTCTGCCTTATAAGAATACATGTGATCACATTTAGGGCCCACCTGCATAATCCAGAGTAATTGCCTCCTTTCAAAAATCCTTAATTTAACATATTTTGCCATATAAGATAATATTTACTATTGTGCTGTACAAAATAATATTCACAGGTTCTGGGGATCAGGAGGAAGATGAATCTTTTCGACATTCATCCCTCTACACAGGGTGACCCTCCACTCTGCCCCCTGCCCCCCCTAGGGTTCAACTTCTCTGCAGAGTCGGTGGCCCAACCTGAAGGAAAAGTAAACATGTACCATCACCTTGTAGAGACACTCAAGTTTGCAGGGGGGCAGAGGTGGCGGCTGTGCGACCCTCGCAGCAACCTAGTGGTCCAGGTGAGGCTCCCTAGGGCTGATGGGGAGTCTTCTTTCCTGCCCTAGGACTTGGCATGAGGGGAGTGGGTCAGGCTTAGGAAGGGGAGACTGGAGGGGTTTCCATGTGGCATGAGGCGGAGAGCCTCGCAGTGGCCCTGGGGACTGGAAGGGACTCTGAAGTTGTAGGTATGGAGGGCAAGATCTGAACATAGCTTGGGCTCAAGGGAGATAGACTGGAGAGAGTCTCCTAAAGGGGAATGAGCTCCTCCTACCCTTTGCTCTGAGGACTCCCACGTGGCCCCTCACTGACCCTGCCACCTGCCCACTCGCCCCAGAATGCCTCCCAGGACCTGCTGGGAGAAGCTCTGGCCCAGCACATCCGTCAGCAGATCGATGGCCGGGGTGACCACCAGCTCAGCTACTACAACCTGGCTGGAGCGTGGGGCCACAGGATGGGCACCTCTCATGTGTCTGTGCTGGGAGAGGATGGCAGTGCTGTGGCCGCCACCAGCACTATCAACACACCGTGCGTGGGGCCCTGGGGGCAAGCAGATAGGACCCTTTCCTTTGCTCCTGGGACCTAAGCCCCTTCCATCCCCAGCTTGGTCTACTCCCCTGACCTCCCCTTTACACCTTGGAGGCAGTGCCCTGTTTTTGCTCTTCCTTTCCCCTGTCTGTCAAAAGGGGTCTTACACCTGGGACATCTCTGGCTGAAAAGACAGGCCTGAGCCAGGTCCTACCTGAGATGGGCCTTACTCAGAAGGTGTCCTGATAGGGGCACAAGGGGATGTTTGGGGGCTCTGGGTGGTGTCAGACTCCAGCATGCAGGTGGGCAGCTGTAACACAGGCAATCCTGAGAGGTTGACACCTTGTGTTGATGGGAGCCAAGGCCCCTGAGCCCAGACTCCATCTCCTCCGTCTACAGCTTTGGAGCAATGGTGTACTCCCCACAGACGGGCATTCTTCTCAACAACGAACTACTGGACTTATGCTGGAGATACCTGCCAGGCTCCAGTGTTACCCCTGCACCTGGTGAGAGCAAGGCATACAGTCCAGCTTCCACAGGCACCCTGGGGAGAGGAGGGAAGGTGGGCGCTGTGTGCTGATCCCTGGGTGGGTCAGCCCCCATGCTGAACCACTGTTGGCTCAGTGGTGAATGGTGACAGGGTGAGTGGTGCTCCTGGAGGGTGTGGGTGATACTACGGGACCCCCAGTTCCAGGTGAGCGGCCGCCATCATCCATGGTACCCTCCATCTTGATCAACAAAGCTGAGGGTTCGAAGCTGGTGATTGGTGGGGCAGGGGGGGATCTCATCATCCCTGCTGTGGTCCAGGTGAGTTTGAGGGAGCGGGAGAGGCCCTGTCATCTGACTCTCCCTGGGGTGGGGGTGGGAGCATTGATGTGGAGTAACGGATCCCTTTTGATCCTTCATCCTCTTCTCTCCCTCAGACCATCATGAACCATTTGTGGTTTGGCTTTAACCTACCAGAAGCCATTGCAGCCCCCATCCTGCATGTCAACAGCAAAGGCCAGGTCGAATATGAGCCCAGCTTCAGCCAGGTGAGGTCAAGATCTGAACCTCACCCCATCCAAATCCATGCTGCTCAATGCCCCCCGGGAGGAACTCAGTTTCTGTGTGAGGAACTCGGTTTCTGTGTGTCCCTTTTAGAGACCATGAGAACCTCAGTGGGGGAGACAATAGACCTGTCCCATGGCTTATAAGGCAGAGAGCAAGATGTAGCGTGTGATCCCAAGCTGAGGACTTCAGCACCTTGGTCTGTTTATGCTATTTTTTTGAATGCTAGTTTTCCTATCTGTGGTCTCTCAGACTCTCTCTCATGGTGATTTATTTCTTTGTGTGGTCTTCTACTTGTTTTGGGAGTTTATTTGTAAAGGAGGTTATTTGTTCAGGGGCAATAGGGGTTGTGTTAGTTCTTACAAACACTTTTTGTTCCTTCACCAAAACTCATGGTGTAAGTCCAGGGACCTCTAGTCAGCTTCTTAGAACTCCTAGGACTGGTGATGCCTTTTACTAGAATTCATTTAAAGACTAGCAGTTTCTGAGGCTGAAAGTTTCATGACCAGAGACATTAACCAACTGGGATTCAAGGTTCTCAAAGCTGACTCTCTTGGTCCCTTAGAATTCTGAGGACCATAGACTAGGGAGTCTTTAATCCAATGATTGTATAGATAGTCCTGGACTTCTGATGATTTGACCTAAGAATGTTATAACTTTCTAACTGTACAAAAGCCATATGCAAGGCTGGATATCACTCAGTGGTAGAGGGCTCGCCCAGCATGCATGAGGCCATGGGTTCAATCCTCAACATCATAAAAGACAAAGAAAAAAAGAAAGCCACATGTATTCAGTAGAAACCATACTTTAACATATAATAACTATACATTAATGGTACATACGAATACAACCATTCTATTTTTTACTTTTCTTACAGTATTCGTTACATGACATATTCAACACTTTATGATCAAATGGACTTTGTGTTAGGTGATGCAGTACAACTGTATGCTAATGTGTTCAGAGCTAAGCTAAGCAGTGATACCTGGTAGGTTGGGTGTAGTAGATGCATTTTTGACTTAGAATATTTTCAGCTTGCCATGGGGTTGTTGGCACAGAGCCCGGTCATGAGTCAGGAGTATCTGTAGTGCCTAAGAACCTTGAGACTAAAACCCTGAGAGACTAAGAATCTTAGCCCGTTGGACGCAAACTTTGGGAGTCTGAGCATTCCCCCACTGTGTACAGCCTTCCCAGTGACCTTGAGTGTTCTCTCAGGTTACCAGGTTCCAGGGAAGTTAGATCTGAAGGATCCAGGATTCAGAGCATACCTTCTTAAGCTCTTTTTCTTTGACCCTTGGCTAAAGGTCCTTACTCTACAAACATCAGTTCTCTGAGGATCTTTGACTGAAATGACTGGTTTCAGGAAATAAGTCTGGGGCCTGTGATGAATGGAATCCAGTGAACTACAAAGCCAAGCTCCTCAGTTCCCTTGGAGAGTCAGAGTTTTAGCTATTTAGATCTAGGGATTTCCATGTAGAAAATCCTAAACCCTGCCTTGGAGATCTTGAGTTTCTAAAGACCATCATAGCCAAAGCCTGTGGACTGAGGCGAAGAAGAGCTTGGAGTTTGGCCACGAAATTCTAAGAAACAGAGCCTCTGAGGACTGAAAGTTTAGCTTTGGCTCTAGCCTTCAGGTCGAAGGACATTGGGTAATTCATGTATTAGGCTCAAAGAAACTTAGAACCATGAGTATAGGGCTCCAAAGACCTCACCTGCCAGTTCAGGTTACATGGTGTCACTTGATGACCTCAGATTAGAGGCCCTGGTCCTGAGGACTGCAGTGATGTCTTCATTCATGGCCATCTTTGGAATTTTGGGCCCTGGTGGGCAAAGATCTTGGCCTGTTAATCCAAAATGGTACCTGGAAGCATGGAGCTGAAGCACAGGACTTGGACTTTCGCTCCTTTACAAACTGACAAATGTGTGGGCCATACCCTGGAAAAAGGTATTTAACATTTTAGAAACCAGCACCTCAGATCTAAGAGCCTACCTTGGTCCTCTAACTGCCTCAAAGTCATCTCCCACTCTGGGACCACTTACCTTTAACTTGGGGTTCTGATTTCCTTGGACATGTGGGTATTTTGAGAAAATGGGATCTGGATCTTTGCATCCTTCTAGACGAATCTCCCACCTATAGACCCTAAACTTATAAAACTTCAGGTCGCAAGGACTTTGACCGCTACCCTCCTGAGTGTCCAAAAGCTCGAGTTTCTCATCTGTTTGTTGAGATCATAGGTCCTATATGATGCTACAGTGCTCCAGTTGGCAAACCTAGATACCTGGCACTTAGCACTTTGTCCTCCTCAAAATCCCATGGCTCCATGGGCAGAGAGACCCCAAGGCAGGTACAGAGATTGTGAATAGGGCAGTTTCTCATGTATGGAGGATGTGGGGCTCCAAATGTCCAACATCAGCCTTCTAAAAGGCTTTGCTTTCAAGAGATTCAAAATTGGGACTTTTCAGACTAAGTTCTCTGAAGCTGTTTCCTCCATCAAAGCCCTCTAGAACTCCTAACATTTGAACTGAGGTCCTGGTGAATTGGATCTAGGACCAAAAAGCATATCAAGATCTTTTTTTTAGACTCCGGAGTATGTGTTGCCCTCTTTAAGTCTTGATCTTTTTAGGTTGTTGAGCTGAGACCATAGACTCTATGCCCTGCAATCAGTGCTCACCCTATTCACAGTACTCCCCTGGTCTTCCCTTGCCTAGTCCCATCTTCTAGGTTCGTCTTCTCATTTCCTATTCTGGTCTCTCTCTTCTGGAGGGGGATTGAGCTACTTTCCCTACATGAATGCTCTTTCTTTTCTTTCCAGGAAGTACAGAAAGGGCTCCAAGACCGTGGCCAGAACCAGACCCAGCGGCTTTTTTTCCTGAACGTGGTCCAGGCTGTGTCCCAGGAGGGGCCCTGTGTATATGCAGCATCTGACCTGAGGAAGGAAGGAGAGGCTGCGGGCTACTGAGAAGACAGCATGGCTCAGAGTCAACTCCAGCCCCACTGTCAGTCCTGTGCCCTGGCTGGATAATACCGTGGAACAAAGAGCTCCAGTGGGATCTGGACCCCTGGCTGTGGAGTCAACCTGGGATTGAAAGAAGAGGGGACCAGCCTGGCAGATGGACTATAGGGACCAAGCCTCATCCTTGAGCATCCCTCTGTGTAGCCCTATGTGGCCCTGTCCTTGCTCCTCTAGTCTTCCTCTGGACTCTTACCTACCCTGTCAATCTGTGTAGCCACTAGTCCAAGATTAAAGAGGAGCTGGACTATGGCCTGAGCTGATGGTTCTGAGTGGGGGAGGGGACCCTTCACTAGTCCTTAGTGGGATGCTCACATCACGTTCCAATGATTCTCAATGACACACCACCATGAAGGTGGGGAACTGAGGCTCAGAGACAGAATGGGTATCACCAAGGCCACCCCTGGACAGAGGCAAGTCCTCTACCCCTACCCCTACTTTGCTTCAGCCACAATGTTTTTTGGGGCTCAGCAGTGTGCCTGAGCAAGTCCTTCCTATTGGTAGGAAGGCAAGAGTGTGATCTAGAGTACCTGCCCCCACTCCTGTTGGATCTTGACTGAGGCCTTCTCTAGATCTTATCCTCCATGCCAAGAAAAGGTTGGACAAAGTGAGACCTGAGATCCCTTACTCCAGTCCCAGTGCTCCATGTTCTTGAGAGCAGGGTTTCTCATCCTTGGCAATATTGACATAAGGTGTGAAATTATTCGTGTGTGTGTGTGTGTGTGTGTGTGTGTGTGTGTGTGTGTGTTTTACTGGGGATTGAACTGAGGGCTTTATGCTTGCTAGGCAAGTGCTCTACCACTTGAGCTATGCCACCCAATCCTTTTTGCTTTTATTTATTTTTCAGATGGGGTTTTACACTTTTTCTGGCAGTACTGGAGTTGTAGCTCAGTGATAAGAGTGCTTGCATGTGCAAGGCCCCAGCACTGAAAAAAAAAAAAAAATCCCAGCTAAGACACTAAAGTCATCTATCAATTATCTGTGGAGGATTGATTCCATATCCAGTAAGGATGCTAAAATCCATGGTTGCTCAAGTCACTTATATATAAAATGATATCATTCTCCTGCATACTTTAAATCACCTCTAGATTACTTATACCCAGTACAATGCAAATGCTATGTAAATAAGGGAATAATGACAAGAACAAAGTCCCTATGTGTTTGGAACATATGCATTTTTTTCTGATCTTTTTTTTCTTTTTGCTGTGCTGAGTGTAGAACTCAGGTCTTCACACATATAAAGCAAGTGCTCTACCATTGAGCAACACCCCCACCCTGCCCCTTTCTGAATATTTTTTTAATTAGGAGGCATTTCATTATTTATTTGTATATTTATTTATTTAGGCAATACTACGATTTGAACTCAGGGCCTTGTGATCGATAGGTAGTTGCTCTACCACTTGAACCATGCTTCTAGCATATGGTTTATGGTTGGGTGAATCTACAATTGGTTGATTTATGGATGCAAAACCAACAGGTTCTGCTTTCTAATACTATCACATAGGTGATTGAGTTTCTTTTTTACTACTTTTAATTTTTTATTAGCATAAATTAATTGGACCAAAGGGTTTCATTGTGATATTTACAACATGCATATAATGTACTTTGATCAAATTCACCCCATCTGCATTACTCTTTCTTAACTATCCTCCCTATTCCCAGGTGATTGGATTTCAACACATGAATGGGTGGGTTGCACAAACATTTGGACATTGCAATATATCTTTACCTGGGAACATATTCCATCAACAGTTAATGCTTTTTTTTTTTTTTTATGGTATTGGGGTTTGAACTCAGGGCCTACACCTTGAGCCACTCCACCAGCCCTTTTTTATGATGAGTATTTTCAAGATAGGGTCTTGTGAATTATTTGCCTGGACTGGCTTTGAACCACAATCCTCCTGATCTCTGCCCCCTGAGTAGCTAGGATTACAGGCGTGAGTCACCGGTGCCTGACTCACTTCTGGCTTTTTACTTTGTCCTAGACTTCAGCCAAGTATAGTAGTTTCCCATGGCTGCTGTTACAAAAATAGCACAAATCTGTGACTTTAAACAATAGAAATTTATTTTCTTCTAACCCAGGAGCTCAAAATCAGTATCACTGAGCTGAAATCAAGGTGTGGTCAGAGCTGCATTCTCTTCGAAGGCTCTGAAAAATAAATCCTTTGCTAATTGTCACATTCCTTGGTTTGTGGTCACATTATTCCTTGTAGTCACACGTCTCTTTTATGTGTGTGTGTGTGTGTGTGTGTGTGTGTGTGTGTTAAATCTCCCTGTGATTGAGAGTCTAGGTGGAATGGGCACCCTCAGCAAGCTTTTAAGGACTCTTGTAGGCATGGAGAGTCCACCCTTATAATCCAGGATAACCTCCCCACCTTAAAATCCGTAGTTTAATCACACTTGCAAAGTTGCTTTTGCCTTACAAGGTATCATTCAAGGGTCCCAAGGATTAAGATGTGCACATATCTGGAGAGCACACGTGGGGAGATGGGGCTAGATGATTTTTAACTTGACTGTTTGGCTGGAGGGGGAACAGTGTTGTAGACTTTAAGAGAAAGGCCTGGGAGCAAAGAGTGGTTCATTTTGAGATGACTGCGTGGGCGGTCTTGCCATGACTCCTGACCCTTGGGGGATCTACTGCCAGTATTCAGACTTCAGGCACCAGCTTCTCTTGGGGGCGGGGGAGAGTTGGCTTTGGGAGGAAGTGGGAAACTGACCTTTGGAAAGGGTGGGCCTGGCTTAAGAGCCTGGGGTTCCGATAAAAGAGGGAGGTCCTTGGAATGCTTTGGATGTGGTGGACTCTGGTGCCTGACCACAGGCAATGCAGTGGAATACCCGTGGGTATATTCAAGGAGGATGAGGTGACGGGGAGTTTTAAAGGCAAAATGATGAGGATTGCATAAGTTGTTTTGCAATAGTCATCCTTGGCTGCAAGGTGGCATCAGTCCAAGGTTGGGCAGACAGTTGTTGGACAGATGTCCTTGCAGACGTATTTTCTGTGTAGGGTTGTGGTGGCAGCCATTGTGCAAGGTCTTGTTTCTGGCAGAGTCTCTTGTTATCTTGGTGTCTCTTACCGGGCATGCACGCATGAGATCCTTTCCTTCATAACCTCCCAGCTCTCGCTTCACTTATTTATTTGCTTATTTGTTGTGATGGCTTGAAACAAGCAACTCCATTTTGATTCTAACTCTTTCATATAGTTTAACAAAATCCCAGGCTCAACGCTTGTCAGCCTAGCAGAGTCCCTGGCTGGGCAATCTTCATAGCTAGGGAGGGGGAGGGTTGGAGAGTGCTGATTGGCTTAGGTTTGTGAGGCTTCCCTTGAGAGCTGTTGTTCCCTTGAGCATCCATCTGTCCCAAACCCAGCAGGCCAAAAGAAACCAAGGGAGAAAGAAGATGCTAGGCATAGCAGCCTGTCTTGTGGTAGGAGTCTGGCTCTGTGCTCCCAAACCAGACCTGTACCTGGCTCCAGGAACCAAGGCTGCCAGGGAAGGCCTGGCTGGTCCCTCTCCTTTGTGCTTCCCAATAGCACCCAGAAAGCAGGATAACTTTACTGTTCCAAGTCTCTTGCACCCGAGAGTAGGGGGCGCACTTCTGGGGCTGTCACCATGCAGAGGAAGCTCAGTCACCACTCGTGAGCTAATGGATCCTCATTGCAGCTCTGGCCTAGCTCCTGGGGCATCAGATTCATATGCTCAATCAGACATCCATCCACCTCCACAGTGTCTGGGGCCCAGAGGCCCCATGCAAAGTCATACATGAGCAGCTAGAGGTTCTGTGGTCATCCCCCCACCACACTAGTCACTGAGATCTTCCTGGCCCTTCCATCTGTGTGACTTGATTCCTTCTCCTCATACCTTTTTGCCATCAGCATCACCTTGGTCCATTCCCCACTCAAGACAGTGGTAAGATTTGTGCCTCCCAAGGCTTCCTGTGCTGACAATGAATCCCCATGTGAGGTCTTAGGAGGATAGAAACTTAATCTCACTATAGTGTTTAGAGCTGGGGCCTCTGGAAGGTGATTAGAATTAGTTACAAGACCATTAGGGTAGTCCTCATGATTGAATCTTGGTTCCTTTATAAGAGAAAAGAGATTGGGAGAATTCTTGTCTTGTATGTGTGAGGCCCTGGGTTACATCTCCAGCACTGAAAAAAAAGGGAGAGAGACCAGACAGATACACATAAATGTGCGTAGTCCCTGCCTTTCACCTATGGTTCTCTGTGCCACTTTGAGACTTCATCAACAAAAGAAGGCTATTACCTTGGACTTCCAGAACCATGAACCCAAATTAACAGCTTTTCTTTGCAACTCATTCAGTCTGTGGTATTGTGTTACTGGCAACAGAAAATGGATTAACAGCAGAATGTGGGGGCACATACTGTAGTCCCAGCTAGGCAGGAGGGTCACTTGGGCCTAAAAGTTCAAGAACAACCTGGGCAACACAGTAAAACCCCATTAGAAAAAAAAGAAGAAGGATGAGGAAGAGAACAAGGAGAAGGAAGAGAACATCTGGTTATATAGAACAAATAAATACCAAAATGGCAGCATCTTCAAATAATACCACAATTGTATAGATAAAGCTTGACACAACTGTTACTGGAAGGTCAGTACAGTTATCTAGATTCCTGCATCTGGTGGGAGATTTCCGGCAAGATACAAAGCAGTGTGGTCAAAAGTAAAGCTTGTTAGAGTAGAAAGACACTTTCAGAGGTGAAAGTGGGTCCTTCAGAAAGAGAGATCAAGAATGACAGTCATTTCCATCCCCTCACAGGCTTTTCTTGAATTGTAAGGGGCTTGGAGCATCAAGTTCTTCCCCAGGACCAGCCTATGGGGAGTAATTGACATGAAAATTGTGACAGAATTATGACATATCTCAACAATCACTCTGTGTGTGCAATTACCCATCACCACCTAAGAAAAACCCCTGGGGAGAGGGGAGAAATCCAGTACTTCTAACAAGATTAAAATGGCATGTTAATAACCCATCATGTAGAAATCACTATTTACTGGTGTTCTAAGATCAAGAGAAATAACAGTTGTGGTGGCACAAACCTGGGATCCCAGCACTTGGGAAACTGAAGCCAGCCTGGGCTACATAAGTGAGACTCCACCACAAACAAACAAACAAACGAAAAAGAACAAGGAAAAGATGGATCCATGGCAGCCTAGAATCTTCTCTGGGGCCCTGGGTGGTTGTTGATGGATATAGGGTAAGACTTGTTTCACCAGAGTGTGAGGG